CTCCTCCTCCCCTCCTCCTCCTCCTCCTCCTCCTCCTCCTCCTCCTCCTCCTCCTCCTCCTCCTCCTCCTCCTCCTCCCTCCTCCTCCTCCTCCTCCTCCTCCTCCTCCTCCTCCTCCTCCTCCTCCTCCTCCTCCTCCTCCTCCTCCTCCTCCTCCTCCTCCTCCTCCTCCTCCTCCTCCTCCTCCTCCTCCTCCTCCTCCTCCTCCTCCTCCTCCTCCTCCTCCTCCTCCTCCCTTCCCCTCCTCCTCCTCCCCTCCTCCTCCTCCTCCATCCTCCTCCTCCTCCTCCTCCTCCTCCTCCTCCTCCTCCTCCTCCTCCTCCTCCTCCTCCTCCTCCTCCTCCTCCTCCTCCTCCTCCTCCTCCTCCTCCTCCTCCTCCTCCGCTCCTCCGGGCCGCAAACGGCGGGAGGCCAGAGAGGGGGGGGGCAGTCATCGCGGCGCGCACCCGGGGGGGGGGGCGCGAGGGGAGGGGCCCTCTGAGAAGGCAGGGGAGCTTCGTGGGAGGCCCTCTGCAAAGGCCCCGCAGGCTTCGGGAAGGCCTTCTCCGGAGCCTCCGGGCGCTTCTCAGAGGGCCCCCTGGCTTCTGAGAAGCTCCCCTGCCTCCTTCGAAGCCCCCCGCCCTCGCGCCACCCCCTTGTGCGCGCCGCCAGAGCGAGGAGGAAGATAATGCGAAGGAAGATGAGGAGAAAACGCGTGGGGAAATATCAGGAGTCTAATGGGAACTAGCGGGCCTGGAGGATGTATCGGGCGACGTGGCCGTGTCAGGGGGCTCCAGGACGCTCTGAAAGCGTCATGTATAGCTCTAGAGTGATGTATTAACATCCTGAGCCTGCCTGAGAGGATGAGGCTGGAGGCAAAACAAAGAGGAGGGGAGGGGTAGAAGTACGAAGATGTGAGAAGCGAGAGGAGGTGCCTGAGAGGGAGGAGAGAGTAGGATGGGAAAGAGAAGGAAAGAGCTGAGCGGAGAAGAGGTGAGGGAGGCGGAGCAGGTGTGCCTGCTTTGCTCCCCAGGTTAAAGCTACCCCTCGGGGTATCAAACCATTTCGCAGCCGGCGTGCTTCGCTGGCACCCAGCGCGCCCAAGGCTGACACACACTTGGTGTCCGATGTAACGGACATGTTCGACATACTAAAAACGACCAATTGCTAGGATGCTGACTGGGAGAAGTGGTGTGGTTCAAGAGTTTGCGGACCACGGGCAGGTCAAAGGGAGTACGAGGGGTGAGACGAGGGAGAGGTTGGAGAGCAGAGGAAGATAAAAATAGCAGGGGCAGCAACAGAAGCTGGAGGGCGATGGAGAAATGAGAGGAGTAGGGAAGAGGGACGGAAGGGAAGAGGAGGGGGAAGAAGATGAGGAGAACAATAAGAAGCAGCAGGATGCAAAGGGGGAGGGAGGAGGCGGGAGAAGCATGAGGACTGTCTTCTAAGTTCTCCTGATCGACGACATTTGCACCAGAGACACCGTGTCGCTCCTCAGAGGCGGCAATGTGTCCGGCCTGTCAAACGTCTCCAACGAAACACCCACGCAGCCATCCAGCAAGCGCAGAAACTAAAGATCCACTGATCGTGGCATAGCGCACTGGAGGCACGTGATGTCGAAGCGAAAAACTGTGCTTAGCTCACCTCTCAAGGTGATTGCAGCAAACACGTTCGAACTAAGTAAAGGAGAGCACCCGCTCCCCCACACTCTCAGCAACAATACCGAAGACCCTGTTCCCAACCACCCCTACACCTCCAGATTCTCCTCCTTACCCTGCTCCACAGCCCCTCTACCTCCTCCTCCTCCTCCTCCTCCTCCTCCTCCTCCTCCTCCTCCTCCTCCTTTTCCTCCTCCTCCTCCTTCTCCTCCTCCTCCTCCTCCTCCTCCTCCTCCTCTAACTGCATCCCTCCTTATCGACCGAGCCCTGCTTGCCAGGCCCCTTTGAGGACGATCTGATCTGCTTGGCTGTCCCTTCCCTCCCCCATGTTCAAAATCTCGACAAGGAGGGGTCCCGCAACGAGCTCGTCAAGGGCCCACCCGGCCCCCAGAGACTCCAAAAATTGTCTACTGGGGCAAGAGAGCCCCAAAACATTGCCCAGCAGATACCAGATGGTGCCAGATGGTATCAAGAGTCCGTCTTGGGGTTCTGTCAGGAGCCTCTTGGGGCGTCTTGGTGAGCCCGGCGGCTGACCCAAGAAGCCAACACACTTGTTAACAATAAGTTGGATGATTCGGCCTATTGACATTCAGCGCGTCCCCGACGGCTCAAAGGCCCCCAACACTGGCCCAGAAGGGCCCCTGAGGTCCCCAAGAGCGGCCCGAGAAGCCGTCAAGAGGGGCCTAAGAGAAGGAGGTCGAATTGACCCCGGGGACCCCCCACCCCCTAAGATGGCTCCGCGACGGCCACATGGCACCCATAAGGCGCCCCAGAAGCCGCCCGAGGCTCCAAGAGGCACCAGGGAGCCCCAAAGAGCGCCCAAGAGGCCCCAAAAAGACTCCAAGGGGGCGTCCAGGCGTCCAGGCCCACGAAGGGAGTTCCAAGAGGCCTCTAGGAGGCCCCTTGCCCGACCCGGGCACGATGACGACATGGGCCGAAGGCCATTTGATATCTGTCCGCCCCGCACCTCCCGCACGCCACCCTGCACGGGAGCGACCCCTCCTTAATTCCATGGCACCCGAACCCCAGCCGAACGGAGCCACTGCAGCTCCTACAATCTACCTCGCGACCACCGTGAGGTGTATCTCCGTTAGCGGGGGTCGGTGGAATGACGTCAGCCTCTCGAGCAACTCCTCCTCGTCAAACTACATACGAGACGTGTCGACAGGGCGGGCCGGGCGTTTTGCCTGAGACTTCCTCCCCACCGATGGCCCTGAAACAGGAAACGTCCAACACGTCACACAGATGGAGGGCGGCTGGTTTGCAAGATGTGGTATTCGGCTTGATGCCGCACCCGTTGGTCGCAACGCTTCCAAGAATTTCCAGGACGAAGGGAGGCCCGTTTTCAAGTGCAGCTCTCGCGTGTGCGCCGCGCACATTCACCTTGAAAGCTTACACCTGATACAAGGATGGAGGGCGGCCCGTTCCAAGGGGAGGTTCTCCCGTGAGGCTCTCTCGCATCACAATCAGAAGAACAGGAAGTAGTGCACAACAGCTGCACGGATGGAGGGCGGCCCACTTTCGCAATCAAGCTCCCGCGTAAGAGTTCCTTGACTGTCCAATCAGACATGCAAAACTGCGCACCATACTGATGTAGGGCGGCTCCTTCCCCAGACCGCCCCCTCGCTTGAATGGAAGGCCCACGGTCCCCTCGTCGTTCAAGGAAGGGAACGTTTGAAACGCAGAGGGGCACTTGCAGGGAGCGTGACGAGGGCACTCGGGACCGAAGGGTGGGCTGCAACATCGCCGGTTCGCACCCTTCTCTGGTCCTCGTCCTCCCCGTCCTCCTCGCACCCCCCCTCTGGACAGGGCGGACCCCAAATGCCCCTAGGTAGGGCGGACTCCAAGCGCCATACTTGTAGCATTCATGGATGTGTATATGTATGCAAATATACACCTACATATTTAAATACATAAGAGTGAGGGGCCCCAACGGTCATTCACTGACCCTGGGTGCGTGGCTGAAAAGCGTTCCGCGATGCAGATTGTTGTTGGTGGTTGTTGTTTGTTGTTTGTTGTCACTGTCCCGCCCGCGACCTGGCCCACGACCCACCCGCGACCTACCGGCGACCCACACGCGACCCACCCGCGACCCACCCGCGACCCACCCGCGACCCCCGCCACCCGCCCGCGACCCACCGGCGACCCACACGCGACCCACCCGCGACCCACCCGCGACCCACCCGCGACCCACCGCGACCCACCCGCGACCCACCGCGACCCACCCACGACCCACCCCGCAACCCACCCCGCAACCCACCCGCGACCCACCCCGCGACTCGCCCGCGACCCACGACCAGCCCCACCACCCGCCCCCATCACTCGTATCCGCAACTGCGGGGTGCTATAAGTATATGAAGCCCGACAGTGATGCAACGACTTAGGAATAGTTCGCCTCCTCCTCCTCCTCCTCCTCTCATGGATCCGCCTCCTCCTCCTCCTCCGCCCCTGCTCTGCTGCTACCCGCAGAGGTGCATGTACCCTCCTCCTCCTCCTTCTCGACCCTTCCACCTCCTCCTCCTCCTCCTCCTCCTCCTCCTCCTCCTCCTCCTCCTCCTCCTCCTCCCCTCCTCCTCCTCCTCTCCTCCTCCTCCTCCTCTCGACCCTCCTCCTCCTCCTCCTCTCCTCCTCCTCCTCCTCCTCCTCCTCCTCCTCCTCCTCCTCCTCCTCCTCCTCCTCCTCCTCCTCCTCCTCCTCCTCCTCCTCCTCCTCCTCCTCCCTCCTCCTCCTCCTCCTCCTCATGTTCCTCCTCCCTCCTCCTCCTCCCCTCCTCCTCCTCCTCCTCCTCCTCCTCCTCCTCCCTCCTCCTCCTCCCCTCCTCCTCCTCCTCCTCCTCCTCCCCTCCTCCTCCGCCTCCTCCTCCTCCTCCTCCTCCTCCTCCTCCTCTCCTCCTCCTCCTCCTCCTCCTCCTCCTCCCCCTCCTCCTCCCTCCGCCCCCTCCTCCTCCTCCTCCTCCTCCTCCTCCTCCTCCTCCTCCTCCTCCTCCTCCTCCTCCTCCTCCTCCTCCTCCTCCTCCTCCTCCTCTCCCTCCTCCCCATCCTCCTTCACATGTTCCTCCTCCTCCTCCTCCTCCTCCTCCTCCTCCTCCTCCTCCTCCTCCTCCTCCTTCTCCTCCTCTCCTCCTCCTCCTCCTCCTCCTCCTCCTCCTCCTCCTCCTCCTCCTCCTTCCTCCTCCTCCTCGTCCTCCTCGTCTCCTCGTCCTCCTCCTCCTCCTCCTCCTCCTCCTCCTCTCCTCCTCCTCCTCCTCCTCCTCCTCCTCCTCCTCCTCCTCCTCCTCCTCCTCCTCCTCCTCTCCTCCCCTCCTCCTCCTCCTCCTCCTCCTCCTCCTCCTCCTCCTCCTCCTCCTCCTCCTCCTCCTCCTCCTTCTCTCCCTTCACGGCTCTCTAAGGCACGGCACCCGCGTGCCCTGCCCGCCGCGGGGCACGGCGCCTCATGCAGCCCACACTGGACCTTGCGGCGCGTCCCACCCGGAGGGAGTCCCGTGCCAACGTGCGCCCCCGTCGGCCGGCTCCTGCACAGCATCTTGCCGCCCCCTTCGTCCTCCTCGATGATCCTTCTGTTATGGGGCTTCCCCGATGTATACAGCACGTTCCCGATGTTGTTTGAACATCAATATTCGCAGCCATCAGCGCATTTCGCTGAAGGCATTCTAGCGGATCCCTGCCCCTGTGTTCTTCCAGCCGTTGCGGCAACAATTCGGAAAACCTGTCCGCGGAATGCCAGCATGCTGCTTCTCGATGTTACAGGATGGCATGCTAAATCCTGTCACGCAAGCCCCTACACATGATGCCCGTACTCCTGAAAGTTCCAGCCACAATAGGCATGTCAATGAGGCAAGGGAGGCGGTTGATCGCGTTAATCAGAAGTCTTTGATAACGGGCAACGCACACATGCGAACCCCCCCGACTCCTCCCACATTACCCCATCCTCCTCCCCCGTCGCCCCAGAACTTCTACGTACAACCTCCTGTATCCGCCACTGTGCCGCTGGGCACGGAGTGGGCATGCCCTCAGGTCCTATGCCTAATTTTCTGAGCCTCAACCCCCACTGCCGAGGAGACGTTCAGAGGCCTGGACTCCAAATTCTCAAATCTCCCAGGGCTTCCCGCGTGCCCCCTGGGGCTTCCCGCGTGCCCCCTGGGGCTTCCCGCGTGCCCCCTGGGGCTTCCCGCGTACCCCTTGGGCTCCCCCGCATCTTGTCGCGTGACTTGTTCGGCCCCAAGAGGCCCCAAGACGGACCAAGAGGGCCCCACGAGGCCCCCAAGACGGTCCAAGAGGGCCCAGAGTCGCCGAAAGATCGTTCCAAGACGCCCAAGATGACAGACGCCCCAAGAGGCATCCGAGAGGCCTCCCAAAGAGGACCCCAAGAGGCATACATCGTTAAGTGTACGAAGGTGGTTGAGAGATTTAGGATTTAGGCGTCCTCGCCTTGTCTGTTTTCCAACGCTCCAAGACGGCCCTAGAGGCCCCCGATACCACCCCAAGACGGCCCAAGAAGCCTCCATGAGGGACCCAGGACGGCCTAAGAGCGCCCTAAGACGGCCCAAGAGGCGCCCAAGACGGCCCAATGGGGCCCCAAGACGGCCCCAAAAGGGGCCCAAGAGAGGGAACACGAACCGAAACTCTCAGCTTTCGGCCCCAAGCCCCCAGGAGGCCCCAAGTGGCCCCAAAGAGGTCCCCAACAGGCCCCCAAGATGCCCCCAACAGGCCCACAAGAGGCCCAACAGAGGCCCCAAGCAGTCTCAAAACGACCCCCCGAAGCTCCCAGACTGCCCTCAAGAGGTCCCTGAGAAGCCTCCCACGAGATCCGAACGAACATCAAATAGGCACCATACCCACAACCCTGGCAAGGTGACGGTCCTTCATCATCCACTGCCCTCATCATTGTCCAGTTCATGCTGCTCCTCCTGCCTCTCCTCGTCGCCCTCCTCCTCCTCCTCCTCCTCCTCCTCCTCCTCCTCCTCCTCAACCTCCTCCTCTTCCTCCTCCTCATCATCCTCCTCGTTCCCTCATCCTCATGGAGAAGGCGGGGGGAAGCTCCCCCCATTGCCATATTAGCTGGACGGATCCCTCTATCCTCATCTTCTGGTCCTCAACCAACCTCTTCCTCTTCCTCCTCACGCCCCACCGTTCCCACCACCTCCACGACGGCCGACGACCGACCACCGACGACGACAACGACGACGACAATGACGACGACAACGACAACGACGACGACGCCGACGGCGACGGCGACGGCGACGACAACGACGGCCGACGAGGGACGACGAGGGACGACGGCAACGGCGACGGCGGCAACGTACGGAGGACGATGACGGCGACGGACGGGGGACGGAGAAGACGACGACGACGACGACGACGACGACGACGACGACGACGACGACGACCACCGACCACCGACCACCGACCACCGACCACCGACCACCGACCACCGACCACCGACCACAGACCACCGACCACCGACAAACCGACCACCGACCACCGACCACAACGACGACAACGACGACGACGGACGACCGACGACGGCCCCGCTGCCCCGCGGGCGGCCAGTTGCCTGCGGCGTCCATCTGGAATTGCGGCCAAACCACGCTTGCGCCTCGCGGCTCGGCCGCCCAGGAAGGGCGCCCGGGGACGACGCGTCGCCGGCCAGCCCTCCTTCTAATCCTCCACATCCTCCTCCACCTCCTCGTCCTCCCCCGCCTCCGCCGCCGCGCCTTCTCATCCTCCTCCTCCTCCTCCTCCTCCTCCTCCTCCTCCTCCTCCTCCTCCTCCAGTTCCTCCTCCTCCTCCTTCTCCTCCTCCTCCTCCTCCTCCTCCTCCTCCTCCTCCTCCTCAACCTCCCCCTCTTCCATTCAGCCGTTCAGCCTTTGCGCCAGCAGGCCCCACGGCGTGAAATCAGCAGCAAAGACGGGCATCGGGGCCGAAACACCCACATCACCTCTTCATGGGGACGCTGCGACCAAAGAACCGCTTGGTGCCGGGGTCGATGCCTCTCTTCAGGAGGCACCTTGTTCCTTGTTCCTAGGGCGTCGTCTGCACTCCCTGCCGAACCCGACGACCTTCGCTCTCACAAACCGACCGCACCAAGCACACCCAAAGATTCGGGAGCTGGCTCTCTCCTCGATTCCACCCCAGCGCTGGTGGCCGGCGCGGGTCCGACGAATGATTCGAGGCAGCCCTGCGCGCGGGGTTCAAGCCAGGGCCGCGTAGGTACGCCCCCGAGAGAAACAACCGCGACAGGAGAACCCTTTCTCACATGGCCGTTGGGGTCTCGGGCCGGGCGAAGGGGGGGGATAGCAAAGGTGGGGTTTGAGAATCAGCTCACGTGGCTGATTTTCCCGGCGCCTCCCGGCGCCGGAGGCGGCTAACGTATCGAGGAATGGACCCCTCGGTGAGGCCGAATCCAGCTGCACGCAGCAAATTTCGTAACCCCCCCTTTCCCAATCCGCCCCTTTCGTCCGGCCCGAGAAGAGTGGCCAACCCTGCACTCTTCTGCCCACGCGTCCTCCTGGATGCTTGACTCACTGGACTGGACTGGGGACTCCCAGGGTGCCTCCAGCGGTTTGCTCGTTTGACGGCGCGCCGTAGGCAGTGCTGATCTCGGGCTGTCTGATTACGCTTGAGGTTGGAGGCCCCGACATGTTCGCGTCGTGAAGAAATCACGGCGCTGGTTTTTGTTGGCAATTTTTGGCATCCGCGGGCCCTCACCGAACCCCAGGACCGTCAAGAAAACAGCTCGGGATGGAACACTGGCCCTAGTGAAAGGGTCAGGATTTCTCGGTACCGCTCACAGAACAAATCCGCCGACCCTTTCAGCGTGTGTGATGGGCTTTTCCGTTCGAGTCGGGCTTTGCCGTTGGTATCGCCGTCTCCGTCATCCTCTGTTCCATACACCTGGGCCCTCTTCCTCATACGCGCCGTCCAAAGCGAAATTGAACAACATAGGAGTGGAATCGAAGGGAAGCCGACGAGCCCTCGGCCACAAAAATCCCACAGCAGGCCACCTCCACCGCGTCGTCTTCCGCCTCCTCTGCATGCGGCTTCTCCTCCTCCTTCTCCTACCTCTTCGTGGTCAGAATCATCGTCTTCAAGGTCGGCGGCACCGGCCGTAAGGCCTTCGCAACAAAGGCGTCGCGTGTGCGGGGGGAAGAGCTCCACATAATCGAGGTAAGGTTGTAACTCTTTCAAGCTGCATCCTTCCCTGTCACCCCCTCCCCTGGTTCTGGATCAGCGGGGGCGGAGGGGTCAATTTGACTTTACGTGCGTCCAAGATGAATCCAAGATGGACCCTGATGCCCCAAGATGAGCTCCAATATGACACAAGATGGTCCAAGTTGGACTGCAACGAGCGCCCAAGAGGCAAAAATATGATTGCAGCACGGCTTCCAGGGACTCCGAAAACTCCCGAGGTCACCCCCAAGAGCAGCGTTGAAACAGCCAAGGTTTTCCAGTGATTTGAGCGTCTCGCCCTTTGGCTTCTGATGAGCGTCTGAGCCTCAAGATGGCCCACAAATCGCCCAAGAGAGCCTCGAGGGGGGGGCAAGAACGGTGTCAAGAGGGCCTCGAAGACCAGGAAGGGGATCTCAAGAGGTTGTCAAGAAACGGTGCTTCGGGCCCCTACAGGGAGAAAGTTGTGTTTGCGACACCCCCTTGTGTTCGATGTGCACTACGAGATGGCATCATCAGCATCATCATCTTCATCAGCACCAGCATCAGCATCAGTATCAGTATCAGTATCATCATCATCATCATCATCATCATCATCATCATCATCATCATCATCATCATCATCATCATCATCATCATCATCATCATCATCATCATCATCATCATCATCATCGTCATCATCATCATCATCATCATCATCATCATCACCGCCACCATCACAACCATCATCACCCTCAGCCGTATCATCAGTGTCAGCATCATTGTCATTACATCATCTTCGTGTTCCACCACCTCTTTTCCCCGCCATTTCCATCAGCATCATCATCAGCATCATCATCAGCAGCATCATCATTACTAACACCAACATCATCATCATCATCACCACCACCATCATCATCATCTGCATCATCATCATCATCGTGTCCCCCCCTATTCCCGCCGATTGAACCCCCCTACAACCCCTACCAAATCACCAAACTCACCAACTCAGTCAACCCCCCAAAGGGGGGCCTCCGACGCATGGCGGCGTGCAGGGGAACGGCGCGCACAGCTCGAGTCCGGTGGCGACGGGAACCCCAATGCCTCGGGGGGGGAAGCGAAGACTGCGAGGGGGAGGGAGAGAGATGGAGAGGGGGAGAGCCCTCCTCCTCTTCCTCTTCCTCCTCCTTCTTCTCCTCCACCTCCTTCTGTCAACCTCGGATTCAACGGGTGGCCACCCATGGTGTGCACAGCAGCTGTGTTGACCGCGCCTGCGATGTGAACAACGGTCAAAGTCGAGATCCTGGCAAGCTCCAGGACAGCCCCCAGCTCGACCACCACGAAATTCAGAACTGTGCTCGGGGACGAGGATTTCTGCGTGGCACCTTGCTCTGCCATGAAAGCGACGCGCAAGTCGAGGGTGGCAGCAGAGCCCCTCAGAATATTTGCCCATGCATAGACGGAGAAGAGTATCGCCAGAACTACAGCGACCGCCTGCGCCATGGACGATCCTATATCGAGCAGGCAACGTACTCGATGATGATGCTGGCGCTGTTGTCGAAGAGCGTCGCCCCGATACCCCACGAAGAAGCATCCGTGGCAATCCCGAACCTGGGCGGCCCTGGGCACAGACAGACTTCGCGCACCCTCGCATGCCGGCAGCCCTGCCAGACGGCATGCAAACAGCTGAAAGCCAGTCGCTCACTGCGAGCGTCCACAAGATGACCCTTAGGGCCGCTGGTCACGGCGCTGCGCGCGTCGCCTCCACTCCGCGCCAGACGCGGCGTCACGGGCAGCAGACGAGACGACGGCCCGCAAGACGTTGACGGCCCACTTGGTGCAAGGGAGGACCCCGGCTGCCCAAAAGAACTTCCCGACCTGCCGGCGCAACCTCCCGAGGCCGATCATGCTGGCCCCGTTGCAGTCGGAGGTTGTGGGACGAGATCGAAATGGAACGGACAGCCCCCTTCCGGGAAATCGGCTTCGGTTTCGGGTTTGCGTCGCGCTTGCGGGCGAGGCGAAGCTGCGTGGGCAGGCGAGAGGAATGACTGAGCTGTGTACAGGGCGGGTCAAGAGCCGGTTAAGCGAAGGCACGCGCGCACTAAACGGAGAAGGAGGAAGAGGAGGAGGAAGGAGGACGAGGACGGGAGAAGGACAATGATGAAATCTTTCAATGGCAAAGCGGCCACGCGCACCACCCTGATGGCGCGGGTCCGGCGGGACGCCGCGCCGCCCGCGCACGCGCACAGTGGCGCGCGCGCGTTCTGGCACGCCCTGCTGCCGCACGGCTCGAGAGCCGAGCGGAGCTGGGTACACAGGGAGCAAAGCGGGGTGGGTGGGCCCACGAGTCCTGGCTCGATCTCGAGCCAACGACTACGGACCCAAAATGGCTAAGGCAAAGCCCCCACTTCCCTACGCTTAACCTGCAGTCTACCCACATAACAGACTATACAAGTTAAGCGAAGGCACGCGCGCACTAAACGGAGAAGGAGGAAGAGGAGGAGGAAGGAGGACGAGGACGGGAGAAGGACAATGATGCAATCTTTCAATGGCAAAGCGGCCACGCGCACCACCCTGATGGCGCGGGTCCGGCGGGACGCCGCGCCGCCCGCGCACGCGCACAGTGGCGCGCGCGCGTTCTGGCACGCCCTGCTGCCGCACGGCCAAAACCAAAAGAACGCAGCCGCGCGCGGGCGAAAGGACGCCCGGGCGCGCGACCACTGGCCTGCAAGCCTGAGGCCTTCCTGGAGCGGGCGCCAGGCCGCCCCGGCTGGGCAGCGCCCCGCCGGCGGCGTGCAACGCGCGCCCGAGCTGGCCCCCACGGCCTCGCCCAGGCGGGGGGGGCTAAACGCTCCCCAGGGCCGCGCGTCGCCGGCCCGCCAGCGCGGAATCGCGCACGCGAAAAGCGCTAGCCGCGCGCGTCGCGCAGGACGCGACTCAGTACACGCAAAGAACGGGCGCGCGCATGCGAAGGCGCACGCGCGAGCTGGAGGTGCAAGCTGGCTGCAGCCCAGTGGACGCCACGTGGCCCGAGCAGCCCGTCGCTCCCCCCCGGTCCTCCTCCTTCTAATCCTCGTCGTCGGGCGGCTCCTCTGTGGCGGACAGCGCGCGGCCCTCGATGCCAGTGCTGCCGGCGAACATGCCAACGTAGGTCGATCCGCTCGCCCCCGTCGTCGCGCCCTTCGTCGGCGCGCCAGTCGCCGCCGCAGTCAGCACCGTGGTCGCCGTGGCGGCCAGGGCCGCTGTCGACGCCGATGTCGGCGCGACCGTCGGCGCCGCTGTCGGGGTAGCCGTCGGTGTCGTGACCAGTTCAGCCATCGGCGAACCGAACCGTGCATCTGCAGGTGCAGCGGCTAGCGCAACCGTCGTCGACGCTGTCCAGGCGGTTGTCTGTGCCGCGGCCAGGGCAACAGACAGGCGACCCATCGGCGCTGCCGTTGGCGCAGCAATCGGCGAAGCCGTAGGCGACGAAGCCGGCGCAGCCGCCGCCGCCGCTGTAGACGGGGCGGCCCGAGCCGCAGCCGGAGCAGCGGTCGGTGCCGTAGACGGCGCGGCCGGCGGCACAGCGGTCAGCGCCGCGGTCGGCACGGCGGCCCGAGCTGCCGTCGGCGACGCTATCGGCGCGGCCGTCGGCGCCGCCGCCAGCGCGGCTGTCGGAATGGCTGTCGGCGCCGCGGTCGGTACACTCGTCGGCGCTGCTGTCGGCGACGTCGTCGGCGCGGCCACCGTAGCCGCAGTCGGTGAGGCGGTCGGGGCCACCGTCGGCTCAGCTGTCAGTACCGCAGCCGCTGCCGCCGTCGGTGCCGCAATTGGCGCCGTTGTCGGTGCCGCAATTGGCGCGGCTGTCGATACAGCAGCCGGCATGGCGGTCGGCGTAGCTGGCGGCGCCGCAGTCGGAGGCGGAGTCGGGAAACCCGTCGGAGAGCTAGTCGATGTCCCCGTTGTCGCCGAGGTCGCCGTGGCTGTCAGTGCCACATCCCCCGGGGCCGCGGTAGCCACCGCCTCTGGCGCGAGACGCCCGTCCCACATGGGCGGGACCGCTGCTGACCTGGAGGCTGGTGCGCGCCGGGCGCCCCCGGCGGGCGAGGACGGGCGGGCATCCCTCGGGGCCGCGGCCGCAGCCGCCGCTGGCGCGCGCCGTCCGTCGCACATGGGTGGGCCAACACCCGCCCCTGAGGCGCCCCCGGCCGGTGCGAGCACGGTGGCGCCCCCCGGGGCCGCGGTGGCAGCTGCCTCCGGCGCGCGCCGCCCGTGAGGTCTGGGCTGCCTGGAGGCCGCCAGCGCAGACGCCAGCGCCGCTGTCGGCGCCGCCGTTGGCGCCTCGGCTGGTACAGTTGTCGGCGCATCTGTCATTGCAGCTGTCGGTGCCGTGGTCGGCGCAGCTGTCAGCGAGGCCGTCGATGCAGCCGTCGGCGTACCAGCCGTCTTATGACCCGCCAGCGCCGCCTCGATCCCCTCGGTAGCCTTTGGGCCGCTGTCCAGAACATGCCAGTCATCCGAAGAGCCCTCCACGAGCGCGCCCTTCAAGTTCACCGCGCCAGCGCCGCTGTCGGCGCCGCGGTCGGCACCGAAATCAGCGCTGCAGTAGGGGCCGCTGTCGGCGCCCCCGTCGAGGATGCTGTCGGCGCGCCTGCTGGTGCCGCAGTCTGCGCGGCGGTCGGTGCCGCAGCCAGCGCAGCGGTTAACGCCGCTGGCGGGGTGGCCGTCAGTGCCACCGTAGGTGCCGCGGTCGGCGCGGCCGCGCCCGCCGCCGGAGACGCCCCCCACGGGCACGCCCTTGCGGGTTGCCTCGTAGGCGCCGCCGTCGGCGCCGCGGTCAGCGCCGAGGTCGGTGCAGCAGTCGGTGCCATTGTCGGCGTAACTGACGAGGCTGTCGTCGGCGTGGCTGTCGAGGTAGCCGTCGGCGCGGCCGCCGGTGCCGCAGACAGCGTGGCCGCAGCCATTGGCGCCGCTGTCGGTGCCGCAGCCGGTGAGCCTGTCGGCGGGCCATTCGATCAGCCCGCTGGTGCCCTCGTAGGGCTCACGGTCGGCGCAGCAGTCGGCGCCGTGGTTGGCGCAGCCGTCGGCGCCGCAGTCGGCGCGGCTGTCCGCGCCGCAGGCTGCGCCACTGTCCCTGCCGATGCCGTCGCAACTGCCGATGTCGTCGCGGCTGCCCACTGTGCCGCGGTCAGCTCGGCCGTCAGCGCCGCAGGCATAGCCGTCGGCGTGCCTGTAGGCAAGGCGGTCAGCGCAACCGTCGTCGCAGCTATCGGGGCCGCGGCCGGCGTAGCTGCAGTTGGTGCCGCTGCGTCCGTAGCTGCCAGCCCCGTCGCTCGGGCGCGTGCCATGGGCACCCCAGGCCTTGACCCGCTGCCTCACCTTCGTAACGTGAGCGACAAGGCCGCCCTCCACCGGAGCGTTCCCAACCGAGAGGCCGCAAGCCTTCGCGAAGTCGAACGCCGTGTCGCCGCTGCTGACCAGCTCGCACTCGGCGTCCGGCACGGGCTCGATCGCCAGTGGCCTCACGCTTGCCTCGGCGCTGTCCATGACGGCTGCCCTGCCAATGCCGCGGGTGGCGGAGACGCCAGTGACGCTGTCGGCGCGGTTGTCGGTGCCGCAATCGGTGCCGCGATCGACGCCGCCGTCGGCGCCGCTATCGGCGCGGCGGCTGCAGGTGCCGCAGCAATCGCAGGCGTCGGTGCCGCCGTTGGCGGTGCTGGCGGTGCAGCCGTGGGCGCGGGTGTCGGTGCAGCTGTCGGCGATGCAGTCGGCGCAGCTGTCGGCGTGGCTGCAGGCGCTGCAGACTGCGCGGGTGTCGGTGCTGCAGTTGGCAGAGCCGCCGGCGGAGCTGTAGGTGCGGGCGTCGGTGCAGCTGTCGGCGACACCGCCAGCGCAGCTGTCGGCGATGCTGTCGGGGCAACGGTTGGCGCGGCTGTCCGCGCCGCAGCCGGCGGGGCTGCTGACGCCAGCGTCGGCGCAGCTGCTGGTGCGGCTGTCGACGAGGTGGTCGGTGAGGCCGTCGCACGTCGCCGCGGCCGTGACCATGGAGGCCGGTTGATCCCCTATCGGATCGTACATCGCAAACATGAAGGCCGAGTGCTCGCCCATCGGACTGTACCAGATGC